CGCTCGCCCGCCCGCCGGGGCCTCCGCGGGCCGCCGCTTCCGCGCCCCTCCGCGCTTCTCCGCGCTCCGCCCCGGCAGGGCTCCCGCCGGGGACGGCGTCGGCGGAGGACCTGTGATGATCAGCTGAGCCCATCTCCTCCCGCTTCTCCGGCTTCTTCCTCATCATCCTCCTCCTCCTCTTCGCCGCCGTCCAGCGCGCCCCTCACCGCAGCGTCCCGTCCCTCCCCCCTCTCCCAGCCCCGGCCGAAGCATGTCCAAGCCCAGCGACCACATCAAACGCCCCATGAACGCCTTCATGGTGTGGTCCCGCGGCCAGAGGCGCAAGATGGCCCAGGAGAACCCCAAAATGCACAACTCGGAGATTAGCAAGCGGCTGGGCGCGGAGTGGAAGCTGCTCTCCGAGGCGGAGAAGCGGCCTTACATCGACGAGGCCAAGCGGCTGCGGGCGCAGCACATGAAGGAGCACCCCGACTACAAGTACCGACCCCGGCGCAAACCCAAGAACCTGCTGAAGAAGGACAGGTATGTCTTCCCTTTGCCTTACCTCGGGGAAACCGATCCTTTAAAGGCCGCCGGGCTTCCCGTGGGGGCCACTGACTCTCTGCTGAGCTCCCCGGAGAAAGCCAGGGCTTTCCTGCCCCCCACCTCAGCACCTTACTCCTTACTTGACCCCAGCCAGTTCAGCTCCAGCGCCATCCAGAAGATGACTGAGGTTCCTCACACCTTAGCCACCAGCACCCTGCCCTACGCCTCCACCTTGGGATACCAGAACGGGGCTTTCGGCAGCTTGAGCTGCCCCAGCCAACACACCCACACCCACCCCTCGCCCACCAACCCGGGCTACGTGGTGCCCTGTAACTGTACCGCTTGGTCGGCTTCCAGTTTGCAACCTCCCGTTGCCTACATATTATTCCCGGGCATGACCAAGACTGGGATAGACCCTTATTCTTCAGCACATGCGACTGCCATGTAACACCCACCCACCCACACCCCCCACGGGCGTGTGTGTGTGTGTGTGTGTGTCCCCCATCCCAAGGTGGCAGCTGGAACTGGGATTCCTTCGTGTGCATGTATATAAAACCTGCAGGAGCAAAAAACAACAAAAAACCCACAAAAAAACCAACCCCACCACCCCACAAAAAGGCCACCACCCGAAACCAGGACGCTACTGGCCACCACCGGGCCGGGACAGACGCGGACGCTGCCTCGGGGACACGGAAATGCTCTCGCCTAAAAAAAAAACCTGGCCTCGGGGTCGGGGGTTGAGGGGGGGGATGGATGGATGGACGGACGGACGGACGAGGGGACGAAGGGGGGACACATCCGCAGTGGCGGGGTCAGATAGGAGCTCGGCACTTGGAAGAGTTGTAAATGTGTTTAAAAAAAAAAAAAGAAACAAACAAACAAAAAAGAGCAAAGAAGGGAAGGATAGCTACAAGAAAAACTAGATGTTAATTTTACTTATCCCAAGCTTGAAACAGGTTTATGTAGAGTGAGAAGACAACAGTAGAGGCGGTTTCGATTTTTATTTATTCTCTTAACGTCTATGAGTTCTCCAGGGTCTCATGTCATTTGGACTTGACTTTGGGAAGTCCCGGTCCTACTATGATTTTTTATTATTATTATTATTATTATTATTATTATTATTATTATTATTATTGTTTTCCTTTTGCACATTGAAAGACGAGATCGGCTGTGTTATATATATAAATATATATATATATTTTGCCACCACGCACTACTAGGTAAAATCGCTTTTCATGTTCAGAAAAAAAAAGGCTCTTCAAAGTTTAAAAAAAAAAAAAAAAATTAGATAGTCCTTAAATTTGTGTGATCCAGTGAGACTAGATCTAAGTTTACTTTAGACAGAGCGTCAGGTATGAAGTCAGGCAGTAGAATTGTAAAAAAAAAAATAATAAAAAATTATTAATACTACTAATACTACTACTAATAACGAAAAACCGAATAAAAACCGATGGTAATTTAAATATGTTTTCACGATGTCTTGGGAAGAAGAAGAAGAAAAAAAGATAATAATAATAATATGTATCCGGCAGGATTTTACCTCGTTAAACCTTTTCATTTGTTGGACAAAGACGTTTTGAATAAAGACAATCTGTCATCAACCGAGGCAACTGCGTGGTGTAAATGCGGTGTCCCGCACCGGCGGCCGCGGGGGGGCTGCGGGAGATGCTCCCCCCGCCTCCCCCCGGCTCTGCCCGCAGCCCCCTCGTCCCGTCCCGTCCCGGACCACCCCCCCCACCCCCCCCGGTAACCGATTTCACCGTGTGGGGGGGTGTGGATTTAGAGCCCGTCGGGGAAAAAGCGTTTGAGGGGTTAGA